TGAACTATGCAAATATTTAATGAGATTGATAGATGTTTTTATAAGATGGTTATACATGTGTGTCAATTCACAACCAGGACTTTGTGAAAGAGAAAGAACTATTACAAGCACAATTGCTAATATAGTGATCAAGATGAATCACTTGAAAATGCTACTGGTTTCATATTTCAGACTCTCATTGATTATGAGATGAAGAAGAGCCTACTTATTAAAATGGTCTATTAAAGATTATTTATGCCTAATAAGATGATTAGACTAAAATTTGTGAAAATAAGATTTTCTATTCAAATATGCAAGTTTTACAATTATAGCACTTAAATGCATCAAGCTAATAAAATATTGTGAATACCCCCACTATAATTTATCTTTATATCAAGAGCTAAAAATTAAGATTTTATAATGAAGGCTCTACCACTATGTATGAAATATATTTTCAAAAGAAAGTCAGGAATAATGCCAAAATCTTTATGGTTTGATACAATTTAATTAAGTTGTCATGTGTGGCATAATTCATGGATTCAATTTGTGCTACAAGCGTTTAGCTTGTGAACATACAATAAGGTTGGGAATAAATATTGGTTAAGATTCCTCTTCTTCTTGTTTATTTCTAAATGAAACAAAATGATGTTTTTATAAGAAATAAATGGATCTAGAAGGCTTATACCACATGGTTTGTAATCCTAAAAAGAGGGGGAGATTGTGATAAGCTAGAAATGAAAATACGTGAATGCATTATCGCTATGTTGTATAGATCCTTGTATATGAATTAAAAGTTCATACAACATTGCATTTATGAAATAAATTAACTGCCAGATATGTAAATATTAATAGAAAGAAAAAATTTCAAATTCATGCTCCAGTTAATAATGCTCCAAAGGTATAAATAAAAATGAATCACGCCTAAAGCGTAGAAGGCTAATGGGCTACAAAAAAAAAATCTTATAGAAAGAAAAAGGAGCAGATAAATAAGATGATTATATTAAGGAGGCTGGCATTCTAGAAGAACCCAAGATATAACTGACTTTAGTAATAAAGAGTTATTTAGAAGTTATGTCAATGTGAGAAATGATGGAATTAAAAAGATGAGAGTTGTCGATAACATTTTTAATAAGAATAAAATATTACTATCAAATGAGGATATTGATAGAATAAGGATAGAAACATGATCAAATTAGAAAAAAGGACACAATACAAGTAGAATTACATTCACTTGTTTATAATATGAAAATTGTGAACTTATAGTTCAAGCACCTGAGGTGCAATGTTATACATGAGCAATTGTGGGAAAGAAAAATATGAAATGTCACTGTAAAGCTTGACTTTCAATATAAGAATATCTTACAAAGATTCAAAATATGCATTAATATATTGTGTGGTGGATGAAATGATTTTTGATATGTTATTAGTTTAGCAGTATAGAAATCTAATATGCGTCTACTAAATAATAGATTACTTATATAGCTCTTTGTACAATGGCATTTACTTAAAAATCCTAGAAGGATTTAAGATGATAAAAGCTTATAAAGTTGGAGAGACTTTCTTGTTCATTATATTTGTTCATATGATTATCTACATATTAATTTGCATCAGATTTGATTGATTCAGTATTATTGAATATCCTGAAGATTTTATATGAATACTTGATTATTAGAGAAATATGTTAACATATTGGGTGATTAGATGGGAATCAAGATTATTTTTCTTCCAAAGGACAATGAAATATGGTCCTAAAACACCATATATGAATGTTTTTATATTACAATTTATGATATTGCATTGATTTGCAATGAAGTTATGTACTTGATATGATATGTTTGAGGAATTATTATGTGTGGTTGATTTGCTAAACTTGTTTAGGATCAAAATTAATTGATTATATATGTGTTATATATGCCTAGTTTGAACTATACTAGTTGACTTTAGAGAGATTTTTTTATGAAATACATGTGTACATCAAGATTATTTTTCTACTCCCACAAGATATGCCAAAAGTGGAAAATGTGTTCATATTCAAAAGATATACATAGAGAAGATGGTTTAAAATATTATACGAAGGTAATCATTCATATACAGTCTAGCCATAAAAGCATATCAACTCGCAAACGCAAAGGGATTGGCAATAGTAATATTCAAGAAATTGACACACAAGTTAAGATATAAAGACTCAAAAAAACTTAAGAATAATGAGTGATATCATCATTGGGAGAGTAGAAGTTATGTTGTATTTTCTTACCTTAACCAAGGTTTTGTTCTACTGAGTTTTCTTGGTAATTCTGAAACCAACTTTCTTTAAGAGTGGGTAGGTTCAATTTTTTAAAACACTTTTAAGATAAATTGAATAGAGATATCTAAAATCACAATTAATTTCAGAAATAAGCTTTCAGGTCACCTGTTTATGTTGATTATAGAAACAACCGGTGAAAAAAAAATGACGACAAAATTGTAAATAAGCTAACCATTTTAACGTCGGTTTTCAAAGGGAAAAAATCATATAGTAATAAGGATAATGGAGTTTTTTATTTAAAAAAAAGAGAGAGAGAATGGAGTTTGACTTGTTTTGTACTCCGTCCATATCAAAATATAAGATATCTTTAACGAAATCTCACTCTTTAATAAAATAGTTACCTAAATTTCAACTAACCCTATCTTTTTATATTTATCCCTATTAAACACCCTACAATAAATATAAAATTATTATTAATAGGGGAACTTTTAGAAAAAAAAAAGCAGTGATTATATCTCGAAAGACTAAAAATATTTTATATTTTTTAATATCCAACTTCTCAAAAAATGTATTATATTTTTAAATGAAGGAAGTAAATTTTATGTAGACCATTCAAAAGAAAATGCATCCATATGAGATGTGACCCATTAAATGAATCAAAAGTTGTTTAAATTTTATTTTATTTTTTCTTTTTTTGAAAAAAAAACTTGTACTTGATTCAGTAATACACATAGTTAAATTAAATTTGGTTTCCCTTCGTGGCACTCTAAAACTGAATCATTTAGATTAAATGTTAAAGATACAGATTAATTTGTATGCTTTTAAAAACTATCAAATTTAAATTATATCAAATCTAATCCGGGTGGATTAATTTGAGCGAGAGATAGTATACTTTCAAATTTTTCAAGATACCTAGCAAAGGAATTAAAAAAGAAGTCCAGACTAATGGTTTAGCTATTTGCAATATATTCTTTTCCCGGCAGTGGAAAGAAGGAATCTCCAACTCGACCCCTTTTCATAAACTTTAATCTGCAGTTCTTTTGTGGCTGGCAAGGAAAGCTCATCTTCATTATTGTTAGAAATAAAAGTCAATAAATCATACACATGAATTATTTATAAAAAACACCTTCTTTCTGACAAATTAAAATTATTATTGAATTGTTCAGTCAACTCCGTTGAATTCATGTTATCCGGACAATTTTTTTCAAATATTGAATGTAATTTAGTTTCTTTACATAATTAAATAACTAAAATTAAGAAATTGATAAAAAATAATTTTAAGAAAATGTACATAATTAGATTGAAGAGATAATAAAATTTTTAATCATTCAAGTTTGTTATAGATTTTGATTTAATCTCTCAAATTTAATTTGTATCGATTTAGTCCTTTAGGTTTTCTTAATTATCATATTAATCCTTTAAGTTTTCAAATAAGAATTGAATCTGAAATTAATCTAATGTGTAAAGTATAATGATTTGGCATATGTATGTAGCTCAATAAAAATAAATTAACTCTTAGATTAACTTAATATTTATCAATTTAGTCTCTTACACTGTGTCACTGTGTTTTGTTTTGTTTTTATTTCTAAGTCTAATTTTTTCACACATAAATAATTATATTTTTTTTATTAATGTATATGGTTGTCATCAATATTTCATTATTCATATAATCATATTTAATAGTCTTGCCTTCTCTTTAAATAATAAAGACTAAATCGATAATTAATATAAATTTTAGGAATCAAATTGATGAAAATTAAAATTGAGTAATTAAATCAATAATCGAAGCAAATTTAAAGACTATAAATAATTAATACATGATTTTATAGTACAGATATGGCATTATTCGACTTGATTTCTAGATAAAGAATTTATTTTAATTTGATCTATTTTATATACATTTTGGACAAGTTAATTTAGTTAGTGTGCCTAATTAGTTATTTGAAAGATGTTAATGAATATACCTATGTCAATTTGGGATCTTCCTATGCACAGTATGAACACTGCCATCCCACGTGACTGCCTTTTTGCCCATTTCATTTTACTTTGTTGCCACGTGAGGAGCTGCCTTTTTGCCCGTTACATTTTATTTTACTGTTTTAATTATTTTAATTCATTTTATTTTGTTGCCACGTGAGGAGCTGCCCTTCTGCCCGTTTCATTTTATTTTATTATTTTAATATACCTATAGCTTTGAGTGCTGGTGCGTCCCAAGTGAGCTTTCCGAAGCAGATTTTTATTTTGTTCGGTGTCAGGGATTTTAATCCTCTGAATTTTACTTTCTGAAGTTTGGTTAAGTTGGAAGCACCACAACCGTTGCTTGTATCATGCCACAAAATTCTCCCACTGCTGCAATATGAACGGTGATAGCAAGCACTGTAATTAAATTCGTTGAGGCCGAACGCATAATAATGACTTCTGGGCAATTACATTGACTTTATTTGAAGATGTTGGGAGAACGTAGATTTCCACTAAAGATCTTTATATGCTGATCTTTACAATTGGTCAATGCCTATCCACTTCCTTTTGGATAGTTTAATCATCATTATCCATTATTCATTCTAATACAATTATGCCAACATCAATTACATATAACTACTCGAAATAATAAAACTATATTTCTCTTTTAAAAAGTATGCACTAGTTATTGGCAAAAACGCTTAAAAGCCAAGCATGTCCAACATAATGAAATGACAGAACATCTTTCACCAAAATAGAAATAAGATAAAATAAAATAACAGAACAATCAAAGCCTTGATTTCTAGTTCCATAATGATCAATCTTCATTACTGCTGAAACTTGTGGCGCAACTATAGATGCTTGTTACTCTAAGTGATGGTGCAGAATAGTTAAGTTGTGCCTAAAATGCAGAAAGATGAGAAAAATTAGAAAATGTATCCATCCTTACTTTGTAGCTTTCAAACAATATAATGCTAAAACTTACCCTTGTAAAACTAGTAAAAGCAATGTCGCCAGCAAATTTTGCTGCCAATGGGTTGATCATTGGATACGCAGCCTTAACAACTTCATTATCCGGAAAAAAAGAAAAATTAAAACTTGCACAGTCAAAAAGAAGAATTACAATAGGATTTCAAAGATAATGAATGTTACCCTTTTCTCCTTAGATTGCTTCTTAACCTGACTTTCCTTTTTGTCTTTGTTGGCACTTGTTGCAGCTTTTGTTTTTTTCTTTGGTTGCTTCTCAGGCCAGGGTTTTTTGCGCTTGCCACCCTTTCTACCCTTTATACCTTGTTTCTTCTTGAACCCCACAACTTTAGCTCCTCGTACCATGTTGCTTTCATTCATTGTATCATTTTCTGAGTCATTATCCGTACTTATTTGCCCATAAAAAAACTTATCTATCACTTGTTTTGTCAAATCATCTATGGCTTCATGTACGAAGTTAAATGCCCCATGACTATTTGAAGCATCAGTTGCTAGCCTTGTAAGTGGACGACAGAGTTGTCTATAGCGTTGAGCAATAGCTATCTTGGCATCTCCCTTGATCTCATTTCCTTTAAAATCATGATGCCGCTTCTAGCTTGTTTAGTCCATCTCTTTAGAATATATTGATCAGGTAGTACTTTGACATTCATTACATCCAACACCTTCAACCCATGACAACACATCAGACCGGAGGTCTCAAACTTTCTACATATACAAGAGATTGATTTGTCACGCGAGTCAAATAAAACTTTCCACTTTTTTTTTTCTTGCCAATCACGGTAATTATGAACTCAACCAAAAAGGGAGTTCTATCCAACGAAGGACTTCCATCTATCTCATCCAACAAAGGAGTCTTAACCATATGCTTCACACATGCAACTAAATATAAGTCCCACTCTTCTTGGAACAAATCCAAAATAGTGAAAGTGTACACCTTAGCAAGTTGGTTTAACATGAGACAAATCTTGCTTCTCAACCTTGGTACTGCTTGACGAGCATCAAATTCACACTTCAGTTCATTGTATCTCTTGTTTTCAATCACTGTTTCAAAGTCCTTAACGAATTGAACGATGTCTATTTCAGATTGCATCCAACTTTTGATATTTGCATTAATACTTTCGCTAACTTGAGTGCTTTTAATACCAAGGGTGAATGCACTCTTCATGTAACAAGCAGCCCACTTTTCCTTTATGCTATATAGACGAGTCAACCATGTGTTATCTTGCACCTCATATGAAGCTGGTAATCGACTCCATGCCTCCTCAAACTCTATTTTATCTTCATAATGGTGCATGCAAGCATTGAATTCTTTTAAAAAGTGAGATCCTTCTCTCATGAAGTTCCCCAAATGTTTGATAGCATTTTGTTGTACATGAAATGTACACAATCCATGACATGTGTCGGACATCACTCCTGCAATTGTCTTAGCCATTGCTGGATCTTGATCGATAAAGATGGTTCGTGGCTTCTTTTGATGATTAGCTTCAAAAAATGTTTCAAACAACCATTTGAATGACTCTACAGTTTCATCATATAATAAAGCTACTCTGAATACCACTACTTTCCTATAATGATTAAGTCCTGCAAACATAGCAAGTAGCCTATATTGATGATTCGTACAATATGTCGTGTCAAAGCAAAAGACATCACCAAAATAAGCATAATCAATAAGCATCCTTGCATTAGCCCAAAAAATATTAGTTATCTATTCATCGTCGTCCATTTGATAGGCATGATAAAATGATGGATTGTCTAATCACTGTCTTTGAAAGTATTCAGGTAGGTAACCCGCTTCCCCATATATCAAACTTCATTGTCTTTTGGTGTGAAGATAATTGTTGTGGTCCAAATGGGTAAAGCCTAGATTAGTTCTTCCTCCCACCTGCTTACTCATCAACTCAAAAGCTGATCTTTGCTTGATCCCAGCGTCTCTTGCCAAATCAAGTTGATAACATTGTGCTTTTGATAATTGACATTGAGATGTCAACTTATGGGTAGTTTTTGGTAGATGAAGTTCATGATTATGTTCTCCCACAAGCTCATGAACACAATACTTTCCTCCCACATGTATGATTCCTGTAACATCCTAGTTTAAATTTTGATATTTAATTTGAGATAATAAAAATTTTGAAACATATTTAAAAGTAAGTTAATTATTTAAGAGATAATTATTGGATTAATTTAAGATAGAATTCTAAGTTAAGATTTTTTTTAAAAAAATTATTATTATTATTATTATTAGGAAAGAATAAAAAGAAATATAATAGAGAGAGAGATTGAAAAAATATAATATATATATATATATATAATATATAGAAATTAATATATATATATATATATATGAAGGGGTAGGGAGCAGATTTTCTGTGGCTGTGTGTGTACCATGTAGGTGTATGCACATAGAACCGGAAATAAGGGCCGGGCTTGAAGGTCCTGTTTAAATAAGAGTTCGAGCTTTGAAAATAAATTTTTTTAAAGTAATCGGGCTTGAGGGCTTGGCCCTGATAAGCCTCATAAAAAAGGGCTCGGGCTCGGGTAGCCCTTCAAGCCCTATTATATTTTTTTTTTGGGTGGAACACATGTTTGAAGTCAATGACCTACTCACCTGATCCTACACACATTATATTATTATTAATTTTAATTTATTCTAAAATGAATTTAATATAATTTAATAAATATCAGTGTAAGGTATAAAATTTCTGATATTTTTTATTTTTCTATAATTATTATGTTTGTGTATTATAAAAAATGAATTATTTTTTAATCAAGATTTAAATTTTATTACTAGACTTTTAAATGTGTTTTTTTAATTTTTAAAAAATTATGAGAATTTTATTTTTTTAATTTCAGAATATTTTAATTAATTTATAATGTTAAATTTTATTTTTATTATTTTTATTTTTTTAAAAAAGGGCTTGAGGGCCCGGCCTTGAGCCCTTCACATAAGGGCCGAGCTTGAGAAATGGGGTTCAAAATAGAAAACTGAACTTTAGGGCCCAGGCCCTTAAAGGTCGGACCCACCCGTATTCCCATCTCTATTGGTATCCGTACATGAGGCAATTCACCAAAAAAAAAAGGAATGAAATGGGAGGAAAAAGGGTGTTGGACCCACAGGTAATTTTTAAATCAATAAATGCCCTTTTCCCTTTCATTTTCCTTCTCTTCTCACTTCTCTTCCGCACACGAACAGAGCAAGCGACTGTGAGCGAGTTCATCAACGCAGCGTGTCTGAGTTTTTAAAGTTAGACTTTCTAATAGAATATTTAGAATGAGATTTCAAGCTTTTCAAGACTATTTAAGTATCTTAAAATTTAGTCTTAGCCATTCTTCCTCTTTGATTTCTGATTTTGTGGCGGTAGAAAATCTAAGGTTTAGAAAAGGGACGAATTTATGTTGAATAAATGTGATTGTTGAGGTTGTTAGTAGTATAATAAATGTTCCATAGTATAAATTTGTTGATGAGTTTAGAATTTGAGGCTTATGAATCAAACTCTACACTAGATTTTTATTAAATTCAAAAATATATATTGATTTATTGAGGTTTACATGATTATTTGGGATGAGAAATGGATTATTATGACTATAGGATAATGATTCTAAGCTTGAGACTCAATTTTCAATCTTTGGGTATTTTAGGTGTGAATTTATAAAATAAAAAAAAATTGATAATAAAAATTAGTTTAGAGATTGATTCTAGCTTATTAATGTTTATTGATGACTAAAAGAGAAGTTAAAAATTTTAATTAATGGTACTAACTTTAGATTTGTATTAAGATTGAGATTAGGAATGATGTTATATTCTCTAATTCTATTATTAGAGTTATTTTATTAGTTTCAATAATTGAAACTAATATTTATAAATAATATGTTATTTATAGATAGTGTTGTTGGTGAATTGTGGTGGGAGAGAAATTGTAAAGAATAATTTATTAAAAAAGTCACAAGGTAACCATCTTTTTAATTTGTGATTAGTGTTACTTCATATTAATTGGGTGATTATTGAGAAAATTATGAATTATTATTGAGAAATTACTTGTTATGTTTATGGAAAAATTGTGAAATTGTGAATGTGCATTTTGAATTATTTTTGCCAAGTGGGATGTCATATTATAATATTGTTGGAAATGAGAAAATTATGAAGATTGTAATATTGTATAATTATACAATATTGTTATAATTTGTTTGATTATTGTGGGAGATGTTGGGAGACTTCTTCTTGTTGTTGTTGTTGTATTTATGTGGCACGTGGTACGCCCCTATTAGAGCCCAATAGGTGGCTTGTAAGGACTCGGGCTAATCTATCTTTGGTCGGGTAATTTAACATCGAGTAAGGGCTACGGCTAGATGTTATTAGAGGGAGATAAGGATGGTTATTTATTATGCATTGTAATATTTCTTATATTTTGTTAGAATTATATTGTTGTTGTTTTCCTACTTAGCAAGCACACATTTAACTGTTTGTATACACTATCATAAATTAGCATTGGTTACTAGGATTTTTGTCTCATTATGTGGTTAACAATTTTCAGGAGAAGAGCCACAAGTGATACGTGGAAGAGTCCCTGAGACTCAATGGCATAGATTCACTGTCTCTTTTAGGTATTTGATTTATAATTTTTTTAATTTATTATATTGCCAATACTAAGGCTTTTTGTTTATTGACAATTATATGAATATAATGATGTAATCATGCCCTTCAAACTCTTTCTACTTTTGGTATATTTTGGATGACTATAACTTTTATCTCTGATTTATTTTGGATAGTTTGAAATGGTTTGATTATGAGGCCAAATGATTGGCTTGTTTTAAAAATTGATTAAGTTGTTTATTTTAGTTATTGGTCTATGGTTTGCACTTGTTGGGAGTATAAGGATGGAAAATGTGATTTTATTCTAATGGCATGTGAGAGGTAAAAATTTTCTGAGATGTTGTATTGTGCAAACTTAAGCCAATTGTAAAATGTTTTTATATTGAATTTATTAATATAAAATGTGTTGGATGGCTGTAACCTAACTATGGTTGTAAATGTGTATTAGTTGTATAAAATTATTTTGTATTATTTGAAAAGGGGTTTAATCTTTTCTACCATGGTAGTTAATTTAAAAGGTGAAGTATTTTATAAGGATATGTTTTATCATTTCTTACCATAGTAGTGTTTTAAATTATAGAATTGTTTCAAAAAAATATATACAGGATAAGTTACTTTTGTTTATCATGATAGATACTTTTCTACCATGGTTGAGTTAAATTGTTTTGAAAAAAAAAATTAGGCTGTGACAATTCCCATCCTTGCTAAGCAGTAAGTTCATGTCTCTCGTTGAGGCTTTTTAGTCAAATGATCTCTTTTGTCTTTACACTGGATTCCTTGTTTGCAACAAACAAATTTGCTACTCGTTACCAAGCGATCCCCAACCTTGTTAGTGTATAGTTTTCTAATCCCCAAATTGACTCTCCTACTATAATCATTCCAAAAATCCCAAGCTTCCTCAAAAGTGTCAAATATCATCCCAATCTTAGGCTTCAAATCCCTGATAATATAATTTCAAGATCATTTTACAATAATATAATAGATAGAAATGCTTATTCAATAATGTAAACTACCAAATGAGTAACACAACGATGGATGCATAACACTTACATGATGGAACTATCTTTGCAGCCCTTCACATCTCAGAGACTAAAACACAAGGAAACTATACAGAAATGCAACCACAAGTTGAAACAGCCACGCACATTGGAGGGAAAAATTATAAGTATTTTGCTGCCAATTTTTCTGCATTAAAAGTTAAAACAACTCCCACCCATTTGATGATGGCAAAAAGAAACCAAACTCTTTGAAACACAACGTTTTACTTATTATGTGGGAGAATTTTGTTGCATGATGCAAGCACCAGTTGTGATGCTTCCAACTTCACCAAACTTCAGAAAGTAAAATTTAGAGGAATAAAAGCCCGGTGTCAATTATATCCTAATCAATTTACAAAGTTCAAGTGAACAGTAGCCTTCACGCGTTCGCCGCATGCTCGAGGTCCAATGGTTATTGATCGTCCAAGCATAGTTGGGGGTGCTTATTTGAAAATTTAAATTCCCGCCTTTTACTTTACATTAGGCGCCTTGATGGTGGCTTTCACTTGGCAGAGTCATCCCTTTCATCGCACATGGTCTTCCCTATAACCTTTAGGTCAGGAACCCTCCTATTGAGGTGCCCTTGTGCATGCGTTTGCCCTTTAATTATCCTGGGTCCATTTACGTCTGCATTGTCTGCCTCCACCTCTTCTATTTCCCTACAATTCTTTGTGTGTGTATTGCTAGAGACCATCAACCTAGAGAAGCTATGATTAGTGGATTCCGAGGCTTGATGGGTGTTACAGGAATAATTTAATTTTGAGGCTTGATGAGTTGGACGAAGGTATGGCTTTTCACTTTTTGGCC